GCACCAGAGCTAGACGGGTCCTTCGTTCAGCCGCCACGCTCCCGCTGGCCTGGCACAGCCCGGGGCGACTCGTGGAGGGCGGCAGGCTCGCCTCGTAGAAATCCTGGAGTGGTGGGGCTGCGTGGGACCTGCAGAGAGGACGTCTCGTCCAACCCCTGCCTGAGGCAGGATCAGCCCTGTGCAAACCACCCTGCACAAACCCGTCAATTAACCCCTGACAGCACCAGGCATCACACCTGAACCTGCCACAGGGGAAGCCGGGGCATCGTGGCCGCCAACGTCCTGCTGCTGGAAAAGGTTGTTAGGCCAGGCCAGGCCATGCCCGTGCTGCAAAAGAAAGCAACCCCCCAGTGCAAACCAGTCTGGGCAGGGGGAAATCTCTGGTGAGCCTCCAGCCAAGCCCAAAGCAGAGGCCAGACAGGCCAAGCCACGGCTCAGGGAAATGCAGCCACACGCTGGGCGCATCCTCTCTGGGCTTTTCTGGTTCCTCCTGAGAAGCCACCGCCTGACGCCCTGGGGCTGAGGGCCACACACCCCTGGCAGCCTGGGGTCACAGGGCCCTCGGCAGCATCACGGCCACGGCCTGTGGGACCTGGCTGCCCTGGGCCGCATCAGGACGGCTCACGAGGGTTTTGACCCCTCCTCTCCCATCAGAGAGGCTCAGCGAGGCGCACCCTTCATCCCGGCGCTGAGAGTCCGTGCCGGCCTGCAGAGCCTCGCACTCGGAGCCAGGAGCACGTCAGCGCCGCAAGTCACGGACCGGGGCCAAAACTTCTGCAGCAAACCCGGGACTGGAGAAGCGAGCGGCGGTGTTGGAAAAGCCGGGAAGGACACGGCGAACCCCAGTGTGGGATGAGCAGGCCCGTGGGCGCGCAGTGCGACGTCCCAGCGCCACCAGGAACCAGCTGCATTTAGAGGCCTGGCCGAACCGCGCGCACGTGCCGAGTGCTGCTCCGGCCTGGGGGAGAGACTCTTGCCCCTGGGCCCGGGGGTCACTAATGAGGCCCAGCGCGTAGGTGCTTTGAATATGCAAAGTGCCTACCGAGGCGCTAAGTGTGATCCTTATGGCCGGGAAAGAGGCTGTGAAGATGTCACCGCCTTATTCCACATCCCTGGACTGTGGCCTCAGCCCGTGGTCCCACCTGGGCGGGAGGAGAGGGGAGGATGGGGGGCCAGAAGCAGCAGGACGGAGGGAAGGGGGCAGGGAGGGTCAGCGAGCCCGGGGGCCCGGGGAGGAGAAAGGGCCCGATGGAGAATTAGACACAGTCTATACAGCACGCAAAGAGCCCAGCGCGTGTGCTAGAGCAAAGGCCGCCCTCCCCTCCACGCGCATCTGCACATGCACACTTGTTTCGCAAGCTTGCATTCACCTAGTGAGCTCCTCCACCCCGCCAGCCCCAACTTGGACTGACCCCCCCACCCCAGATTGACGCCTGTTGCCCGGGAGGAAGCTTTGCAGGGCAGGACAGCCGCATCCTTCGGGCTGGCGCCCGCCGGGTGCCCGGAGCCGGGCGAGGGGGGCGGTCACGGGGAGCTCAGCCCCCGGCAGGATGTGGGCGCTGGCGACGGAGCCCGTTTGATCTGGAATAACGGCAAGGGCGAATAGCCGCGGCCTCCCCCCGCTGAGTCCTTGTGGGGCTATAGCCCCCTTGGGAAGGAGGGGGCTTTGCAGAGCGCAGCAGAGACACCAGCCCCTCCTCGCTGGAGAGCAATTGCTCTCAAACAAATGAAACGTGTGTAATTAATGTCCCAGATGAAAGCGTTTCCTGGCCGGGCCCTTCCTTCGCAGGGCATCAGAAGCTGCTCAGAAGGTGTGACTTTTCCCACAGGGAGCCTCAGGCCCTGCCACAATAAAGCCAGGGCTTCGTCCCCAGAATTAATTAGAAGAGGGGGATGGGGGCAGAGGTTTGAAAGCTGACCCTGAGGCAATAAACAGCCCCCCTGGGCCCGCTGCCCGGGGCTGGGGACCGGCATATGGCACCGGGTCCCATGCCAGCGCCAGGCCACATCCTACGGGCAAGGGAGGCATCCAAGGGGGTCGCGGTCCAGGTCCGTGGCCGGACGGAGAGGCCGTTCTGCTCCGTGCTCGGGAAGGACGGGGTCCAGGCACTGTGGGGTGGCTCTGCCCAGGGAGGTGGTAGCAGGGGGTTCGCGCCCATCGCACCTGCAAGGCAAGCAGCCGAGGGCTGGGAACAAGGGTGCGGAGCGGTGCTGGGCTGGGCTGGGCTGGGCCGCCGCGGGGTCAGCCCCTCTGCGGCCGGGACGGGGAGCTGAGCAGCTGGGGGGCGCTTTGCAAGCAGGGCTCAGATCTGGGGAGCTCGTCGCTCGCAGCCCCGTGCCCGGTGCTGGAGGAGACCCCCGGCATCGCTCCCCTCCGCCAGCACGGGCGCCCGCGACGGAGAGAAGGCCGGTCCCTGCCAACGCCCGGGCTCCGAGTCCTCCTCTTACCTCCCCCATGACACAGATTTCATAGATTCATAGACATTGGGGCTGGGTCATCGAGTCCAGGCCCCCGCCCGAAGGGCAGGAAGTCAGCCGTGGTCATAGGATCCCAGCAAGATAAGCATCCAATTTGCTCTTGAAGGTGTTCAGTGTAGGTGCTTGAGCCACCGCTGAGGGCAAGCCGTGCCAGACCTCAGACAGTGTCCTTCAGACCCCGAAAATGCCCCTCACCCAGGGCAGACATGGGGCAGCGCAGCCCTTTCCTCTGCCGTCTGCAAGGGGCCACCCCACCCTTGTCTTAGCTCCTCCCCCTCGTCCTGCTTCGGCCCCGCACCCAGCCCCTACCTCGGCAGGCCGGGAAGCCCAAGCTGCCATCACGGGCGATGGGATCAGGTCCCTGGCTCCCTCCCAGCTCTCCAGGGACCGGTTGCAGCCAGCAAGTGTACTCGAGTAGCAGAGGGCACGTTCACCCAGCGGCTGAGGCCAGGACGATGCTCCGCCGCCGGACGCTGGTGCTAGGCACGCTGGCGGACGCAGGGCACACGTCCCAGCACCCGGGCGCTGGGTAATAAAGAACAGGACGGTCATTAGCAAGAGGCGCGATGGATGCTAGGCCCCAGGGCTGTGCTGGTCCCTGCCGTCCGAGGCACCCCGCAACCCAGGGATGCCCTGCTTCAAACCCTCACCCGCAGCCCTGAGGCACGTGGCACTTAAGCCCCAAAAGCCTGGGGGGCCGCGACCCATTGCACCCCCACGGGAGGACAGCAGGAGAGACCACGGAGCCACAGGCCTCTGCAGCAGTGGGGAACCCGGCCACCACGGCGAGACGCTCCGACGCTTGGCACCTTTCTGCTCGGGATCGACCGGACGTCTGTGCCCGACGGGCCGGGCGGGATGGGCACGATGCCCGAGCTGGCCTGGACGAGCAGGGCCCTGGCGTGGCTCAGCCAAACCCGGGAGCTGGTCGGGAGAGGGGCAAAGACATGCTTCTGCCTCCTGTTGCCATCTCTCTGGCCACCTTTGCCCCACAGCCACCTCCTCAAAGTCACAACAAGAGGAGGCGGCAGAAAGAAAAACACCACGAGCTTGGAGAGTCTCCCTGTTGCCTTCCCACCAAAGGTCCCTGGGTACAAAACCCTTCCCTGGGGCACAAAATGCCAAGGACTCAAGGGCTCTTTCTCTCCAGCCCACTGGCCACCGCCTTGCACGGGGTCCTCCGATGCCCTTCACACCAGGCTTTTGGCCTTGCCCCTCTCTGAACCCCCACTTCCAAACCCGGAGACCCCCACCTCATGCCCCTCCCCATCGCCTTCACCCCCCGAAATCAGACAGGCGCGTCAATACTAATGCCATTTTTTTAATGCACATATTAAATAAATATTTCAAAGATCTCATATTCAAATTTGTACACGCAACAAAAAGTCCTCGAGGAAATTAGAAGAAGAAGAAGAATAAAAGAACAAAACAAGACACCCCAAACAATCAGAAAGAGATCGGACCCGGGTTCTGGCTGCCATCCAGCGTCTGCTTTGCTCCCCCACGGCAGTGTCTGCCGTGCTCGGGGGGGGGGAGGCTGGATCGGGGCAGTTTGGGGGTGTTTTGGACAAGAAATCAGGCTTTGGACAATGCACAATTTTCCCTGGAACCTGCCTGTTACAAACACGGCGTTTTTTTTTTGTCGGAAAACTGAAGCCTGGACATGGAAGACGCAGGGACTGAATACTGAACCTGTTCTAACAATTAAAAAACCAGCCAGAAATGCCCAAACGATCTCAAGTTTCACATTTTGGGGTGGAAACTTTTCAGCTTTTGGGTGCAACAAGAATGGAGAAATTGAGGTTTCAGCAAAAGGTCCACATTTTCCATGAGAAAAATCTATATCTCCCCATGTCCTGCCCACCGCCGCTCCCTCCAAGGTGCCCGGGGACATCCCGAGGCGGATTTCGCCGGCATGAGGTGGTGTCTCCAGGCCGGACCTCGCCCAAGAGCCGGTCCCTCGGGCCCAGGAGACTGGCCGCGGTTCGTGGGAGGATCCAAGCAGCGTCCAAGACCCTCTCGCTCGGCGAAAGGAGAGGGTCTAGTTATCCCCGAGAGTTTCGGACAACGCGGCCCCAGGCATCGCCCTGCAACGCGCGCCCCGGCGGAGACGGGAGCAGCATCCTGGCCTCAGCTCGTCTCTCCCCCACGCACTCTTCCCTGTCCGGTCTGCTCAAACTCGCACGAACCCATCTGCTTTAAGTAGCACTTTGGTCCCAGATAGCCCCCCCCCCCCC